TATGGAGGAACCGTCAACAAGTACTTATCACAACAGAAACTAAATTATAACCCCAAAGTATCAATGAGTTAGAAGCTTCAATGTCAATTAGATGTCTCAAAATACAACACCTAGTTTTGAATGACCAAAGTAGACTAAACACACTCCTTAGATTCTATACATAGTTTGCCTGCTACCAAACATATACTTGTTCTTTCACAAGGGATATGTTTCATTAAAAAAAAAGCAGGGCTTAAGATTAATATCACATTGTAAACAACTGGAAAATTTTAAATACCTTGGTGAGAATCAACAATGTGGTACTTTCGTTTTCATTTTTATCCTTCCTTGACTACCAAACAGGAAATCTCCTTGATTCGATGTCTGCTAAGAAGAAAAAAAAATGCCATTATCCAAGGACACAGCAAGTTCTGTCAGGTATTTCAACGTGATAGAAGAGCAGTCAGGTTTTAATTAGCCCTATTGTGCTCACTCACAAGCTACAACATTCTTTACCTCAGCAGTGTGGTATTCAAAAAGAAAAAAAAATACAAAGTTAGTTTCTACCTTTGGAAATATCAAATGAATCATGTTCAGTTTCATCCTGTTAACTGAATGCTTGTTGACAAAAGTGAGCATATCAACACTAGTTGGTACTGAAAAGTAAAACAGTTTAGAAAACACCCCACCCCCAACATTGTTTCTTTAGGTATCTAAAATAAAGAACGGGACTTATGTTTTGCTACTATTTTCTGTCTTCTTATCTACTGTATTAGAAAGCACTTTCTCTAGATAGCTCCAGGTCAGAAAGTTACCTTTTGTAATACTGTTCTTAACAAATGAGAACTTTCTCCAGAATTCTCAGCGATTTGGGACTGCTGAAGTTGGGCACACCAGCAGAGGTATTTTAAAAACTGCTAGGCAAAGTGTTCTGAAACAATAAACAAAGGAGTAAAAAAATGTAAGAAAAAGAATGGGAAAGTACAAAAAAAAAGTTCCTCTTAAAAATAGAGAATGCCAAAACAGGAAGGGCTGATGAGATAGTTGTGGTTTTAGCAGGCCTTGTTTAGACAGATGCATGGCTATTAGTTTTCTGCTTTAATTTGACCAAGACTTTTGACAGTAGAAGAAAACAGCTAACTCAACAACAATAATAATAAAAAGTAAAAGAAAGCTTGGGGAGGTGAAATCTTCATGATTTTTATGGAAGACGTATCTGTTTGGGTCTTTGCTCTACTCATAACCATTCAAGCCCTGAACAGCAAGCTGCTGGAAAAGCTCTGTGTACCGATGTGGTTTTCCTTTTCCTTAACCAACATTTCACTAATTAAAGAACATTCTTTTCAATGGTGCGGAGAGGAACGTGGGAAATCGGGAGAATAACTAGAGTCCTCTTTGTCAAAACTGGAAGAGGCCCTTAGGCTTGAACTGCTTTCCCGCTCTTCCTTTCTGCAGGCTTTCAAACCCTTTTTCATCCTGAAACCCAGGGGGAACCTCCCGCCTATGCTCCACCCCTTTGTCTTCCCCAAGCTCCATCCTTAGACAACCCAGTTTGCACGTTGAAGTCATGTCCATCCAAGTATGTCCACCATCAGGAGTATCAACTCTGGGCAAATGCTTATCATGTCCTTGGAATGGGCTCAGGGCCATTTGGACAGAGAACTCTGGGAACCCAGATACCCAAATGGGGTCTACAAATAAGGGAACAAGCTCTGGGCATTCCCTTGGCTCTGAGGACTCCTTGGCCCATGGGGAGTCACAGGCCTTACAAGAGTCAGCACGGGGGCCCTCTAAAGTGGGGGCTCCAGGTAAAAAACGCTGGTTGCCTGAGGCAAAAGACAGTACTGGCTTCCAGATTCAGAAAATGTTATTGGTAGTAGACTATCATGTCCACCACCTACCCGAAACTTCTACACAGTTCCAAATGAGCTAACTGGAGGCCTAACGAAGTGTTTAGAGTGACTCAAGACCAACCTTTAAATTTCTCTGAATTATTTTTTTTTATTGGACATGGCCTTAAAAGAACAAATACATAATTTTAAGTTTAAATTATCTTGTTAAATTTAGCCTTGGTCAGAAACTATGTGAAGTTTTTTTTAAAAAAGCAACTGCATAAAGTTTGAAATTTTAAAAAGATGAATACTTTTAAGAGGTCAAGCCAATAGTGCACATGTTAAAAGTTTTCATAAGCTTTTGGTCCAGAATTTTTTATTTGCTAGGGCTAAAAATTGCTCCCCAAATTCTAAAGAATTTAAAGAAAGTTTTCCTTCTGTCATTATTCAAAACTCTTCAAAATAAATCACACAAGGATGTAATGATTGGTATAAATGGATTATATTCCCATAAAAAAGATAATTACCTTTTTAAAGAATGTACATAAGGTCTAAGCCCTCAATCCACTGGAACCGTGTCCAATTTGCAAACATCTGAGACCCACAGACAGCATAAGGGAAGAAGGTAGGGGTTGGGGTAAGGTAGTAGTAGAGGAGACACTCTTCCCCAAAGGGTTTTTGTTCAGTAACTAAAAATAAGGGGAAATGATGAGGCATATGCTAATGACAATTAATTTCCTCTTTTAAATTAATTGTTAACAGTGGACTAGTTTTCAAGTTGATCCAAAAGTAATATTCCTAGCAGCTCTCTAACCACTGAGTTCAGTTTCAGAGAGAGTAAATTAGGCCAGACCACTAAGGAACCCTGTATAAACATAAAGCATGAAAAGCCCTATGTGTGAGCAAAGCAAAAAGTGGTTTTTAGAGATGAAAGGAGCCTTCTCAGGGATTTTGGTGTAAGGTTTTGATGCAGAAAATTCTTATCAAATGTAGATATCTGGAAGGTCATCACTTCCAACCTAAGCTGTTCCTTTCTGCCCAGGTCACCTATCTATGCTTTCTATTTAGTCACAAACTACCTCAGAGATGGCCATTGTCAGGCAACCATGATCTCTTTGAGACAACCAAGAGCATTTTGAAGGAGATGCCATACAATGTTTACAACCTTTAAAATCTATAAAGCACTTTCAGTTTCCTCAGGAAAAACTTTCTGAAAATATAAAGTCCCTTATCCCTTTTGCCCAGAAGTTAAGCAAAACTGAAGAGCTTGATAAGTTTTAACAGGTGAATCTTTTGGGGGATCTGACCTTGTTTTGTTTCATGAACTGATCTCAAATAAAATAATAGTTGCTCTCAGTGGAAGAGTCCATATTGGGCCTGGTAAACCTTACAGGTTCATAAAAAAATCCAATCTTTTTAACAGTGATCATTACTCCTAGGTCAGAATCACTATTTATAGATAAAAAGAAACAATTACATGAAGTAATCTTTTCAAAAATAAAGTTAAAGTCAGTAACTCTTTATTTACAGTTTAGTTCTATCATTCTATCACGGTCTACTTTTCTGTGTCCTATATACCACTAGAACATTATAAAAAAACTAGTTGTTACCATCTCATAAAATTCTTGCTATTATTTGCCCAAGCTACTACTTTTGGGTTTTAATTCAGGTTCTCCCTTGAAATTTTGAGAAAGGAAATTTTTACTTGTATCATGTATGCAATTGAAATTATGCTTTTCCTTAAAGTTAACATACTGTCCTATGCTTCATGTATTCCTGGGCAAGGGGGTAAATGGAGACATGACTCAACATTTCCAAGGGGCAAGAGAAACCCATGTGGCCATTCAGTAGTGCGTAAAGGAACTTTGAAGCGTCAGACATTCTACAAATCATCTCATTTAATTCTCACAGCAACTCTATGAAGTAAGCATTATGGTTATTACTATGCCTAATTTCAAATGTGGCAACAAGCTTGAATGGTTAAATATTCCTATTAGTAGTAACGAGATTTGAACACACAACTTTCTGCCTCCGAAGTCTTGGTTTCTACCATGTGGCTTCTATAATTTTTTAGTTTAGTTCTCTCACTGTCTACTTTTCTGTGTCCTATATACCACCAGAACATTGTATCTTTTTGCTTCACTTTGGTATTTTAAAGGGGATACAGAACAAAAAGCCATAAACCTCACTTTTGGTGCTGCCTGGCTTATCTTTATATAGTAATAATTAACTTTGGTAACAGCAGGCACCCATCTTGACACTTCCTCATTTTTTCACTGCTGCTAAAAGCCGATAATAGACTTGAGCTGCTCACACCACGAAAACACTTGTTGCTTTTAACTGCCAAGTTATATGTATTTTGAATTCAAGCTCTATGGGCCTAAGGATGTCTTATGACTTCAAGATTGAAAACTGAAGTTCATCTAACATTTATTCCCCCTAAACAAATAATGAAATAAAATGCAGAGTGATGTGTTTCACCTGTCCCACCATCCCAGGAAAAAAAGCCTCATAGTGACATCTAAGAAGTGGTCCCAAGAGCCCCACTGCAGCCTTGCTCAGATTTGCTGTCCACGGTGACAGACTGGCTCACTGAAAAATTTAAAGGACTGCTGGAGACATTAACAAAGTTTAGCACTTCACCGGGAACTAGTGGAAGAGGTCACAGCACATGTTCTAACACATTTAAGCATTTCCTAAGATTAACCTAAAAAGCTTTGTAAATAAAGACCTGTCAGGTGTGTGAACTAGTATTAGCTGGTGTTTCCAATTCTTCACTTCTCAGTAGGCAAGTGAAATTACTGCCTTTAGGGTAAGTTTATTCGCCTCAGAACACCTCAGTTGGTGCTTGAGCTTCTTAAAAAGTTCAAGATGTTAATTAAGCACTCCAATTAACTGGTCAGGTTGGTTGAAAAATACAATATATGTATCTTCCCAACTACTTTGGCTACTTACCAACTTTTTGTTGAGGTGCACGGGCTTACCTTGGTAGTGAAATCGAAATAAAAGGCTTGAAAGTAAATTTTGTTGGTAGCTACTTGCCAAACAAAACTGCTTACAGAGATTATCCACCACTTTGAAATACCAAAGAGAAAATAAAATTTACTTTTGCTAAAAAAAAGTTAATTAAGCTTATATTTATTAAACTACTAAGCCACTCACTGGCGGATTACAAAACAAACTTTTGTCTAGTTTTGTTAACACATTTGCTTTTTTTTATTTTTTAGAATATAGTCTACATCTGGATTAAAAAAGTTTTAAATAAATTTAAGACATATAACAACAGTGGAACCCTTCATTATTCTATGTACAACACGGATAGAATGTCAGTTGGTTCCGTTTCGGATAAGTCCACTTTCTCATAATAACATTATTATTTTCACTGGCTGGGTGGCAAGCTTGGTACAAGCGGGCATAGTGCCAGCTTAAACACACTGGGGTGGGGGCGGGAGTGGCGTGAAAGGGATAGGGTAGGGGTGCCACAGGACAACTATACAGTGTAACAGAAAATCATTAATAAAGTAGTACCGGTTACCGACAGACAGTAACGTTTGTGCGCTTATCACAATGGAATCGCCGAAGTTTCGGAGCTCTAATACTTAAGACAGGGCCACTGTTACAAAAAGAAATAGTGCAAACAGGAAAACTGATGCAATCCTAGCAACGCTGCGGCCTCCACCAGCCCAACCGCAGGGCGGCGGGAGGCTGCGCGCCCCGCCTTCCCAGCGCCCAGCTCCGGGCGGCGCTCCCAAGTGTGGCAACTCCGCGCCGCGCCCTGGCATGGCCCCTTCTCGGCCCTTCTCCTCCAGAAAAAGATAGAAAAGAAACTCCTGGAAAGGCACAGGATGAATGCGCGCGTCAGCCCAGTCCCATCCTACAAGCATAGAACACTGGCCCCCTACTGCGGGAGAGAGGGAGGTCCTTGAGGCGCCCCCTCTCTCCTACCACCACTTTACTCTCCTCTCCCCAAAAGAGGCCTCTCCACCTCCTCACGCAGCCTCGCCGCGCCTCCAGCACTTACGCAGCCCCCCAACTTTGCAGTCCACCCACCACGCCCTACAGTCAGAAAGAAAATAGCTTTGAGGAAAGAGAGAGGGTGAGAGATGGGGCCGGGAAGGGTGCTGGGCAGCCGCGGGGGTCCCGTCTCAGTGGCCCCAGTTGCTGAAGCCAATCTCCTGCTTATATCTGTTAGTGAGGATGTTGGCTTTGCGCGTAAGTTTGGAGAGCACAGTGTGCAGCCCGCGCAGGTGGTAGTGAAACTGCTGTTCCAGGTCCTCCTCGCCGGCGTCCGCGCCTTCCAGGTGGCTCAGGTCCACCAGGATGTCCTTGGACTTCCAGGTGCTGCCCTCCTCGCTCCCTGCAGGCGGAGGTGGCTGGTGCAGGACCCCCCACTCGATGTCGTTGCGGATGGACTTGAGCAGCACGTAGTGGCTGTACATGTCCCGGGAGGGCGCGAAAAAACTGCCGTTGGCGCTGCCTGAGCCAGGGGCCGGAGGTGTGCGCTCCTCCAGGCAGCCGCCACTGCTGCCTACCTCCTCCACGCCGACGTCGTTGTCCAGCCCGGGCTCGGCCAAGGGAACGTCGCGCAGCAGGCTCGGCACCATCACTGTCTGGTCCATGTTGTTCACCGCGCCTATGAAGCGGTTCATGGCGTTAAAGAGCGAGTGCTTCTGGTTGTAGGTGTCGCAGATTTGCATCATGGTGGCTGCGCGGGCGCTGAAGTACTGGAACGCAGGGGCACGGGATGGCCAGCTGGGGCGAGGGGCTGCCGCCTGCACGCGCTCTCTTAGGCCCGCGCTGGGGGCCTAGCTAGAGTCGGGGCGGCGGGATTCCCGGCTCCTCCTCCGCCCTGTTCCACTCTCGTCTCGCTCTCAGCTCGGCCCTGGGATGCGCGGCTTCTCCGGCTTTGGCGCCCGGAAGCTCACGATTGGCTGCGCGTGGTCCTTAGACCGTACCCCGGCCTGGCTGGGAGACGGGAACGAAAGAGATTATTCACCTGGCCAGGGGGATCTGGCGCCCCCGCCTGCGCACACCTCCCTCCCTGATTACTGCTCGCCTGGGACGGCGCCCGGGCGGCTTCCCGCAGCCGGGCGGCCCCACCTCCTCGCCCGCCAAGAGAAGGAAGGGATGCTCCCCACTCCCGTCTCCCTCCGAAATGCCTGAGTCCAAGTCCCCACGCCGACCTGGGCCGAGGTGGGGCGGGGGCACCCACCTCCTCTCGCGCCTGGAGATGCCCTGCTGCGGGATAGTGTTCAGCGTTCCCGCTGCTGGCGCCTGCTGCCTGCGAGCACTGCAGCGGTCAGCGGCCGGACTGAAACTGCGGGTGGCGGAGGTGGTGTCGGCCCCGTACCCATCCCAGGTGCTCAATTTATAGAGCCCCGGAAAGGTGTCGCCAGCGCTCAGGGCCACCCCTGGTGTCTCCTCCTCCCGCCTCCCCGGCAGCGCCGAGATAAAAGGCCCCAGCCTGGATGACCGCGAGTAACACTCTCTTGGCCACTTCAGCGGGGGCGGGGCGCGCCGGGACAGCTCCGCCTCTCGCCTGATACCCGGGCGGAGGGAGGGCGCTGGGGTAGGGCAGGGCAGGGGAGGGTTGGAGCAGCCGCGCCCCCCCAGCCACGAGCGCCAAGCAGGCCAGCTAGGGGAGTGCCGGCACTGTGCGGGTGTAGAAGGCGCTGGCATTCGGACTGGGCAAAGGGCGGGCTGGCCGGTGTACGTGGGGGGGGGGCTGGGGGTGGGTTTTGCACACGTCCCTGGTTGCAAAGTGAGCCCTCCACCCCAACCCGATTCTATAGTGGCCGCGGCCCAGAAACTACAGTCCTGGTTTATTATTAGCTGTTGGGGAAGAGGGGCCCGCAGCAGCCGCCAGTCCATCCCGGGACTCTTATGTAAGAAGGGTGGCTGGGCATGCCGGGTGCACGTGGAGGCGTGGTGCTCGGCGCGGTGGCCCTTGCGTGGGCCAGCTGCTGGGGGAGGGAACTTCGGAGGATTTTGCCTCCCTTGTGGCGAGGTGTTACCCAATCTTTCCTGTTAACAACCACTGCCAGAGATGAAGAGCGACTCACCATCGGATCGGCACATTTTCTCAAGACATCAAATGTGGCAATAGGTTGAAGTAGCCAAATTCCTGACTTTTACCCAAGTCCTGATACTCAGAGATGCTGGAAACCTCACGCTGTGTAGCCTTACGGCTGCCAAAGGGCCAAGAGGAGACAGTAGTTAGGCTTAGTGTTGGTGTCTTTCATCATTTAACAGAAAAGTGAGGAGGTATCCCAATAAATTTTTGAGGGGGGATTTTAAATGTACCTTTCCAAAGATAGTTCTTAGAACACAAGTCATTTAACAGGGTATAAGCTATGTACCAAATCTCTGGATTTAACTTTTAAAAGAGGCTTGCACCTTAAGTTTCACTTCAGGATCCCAAATCAGAGCCCATTTCCATTTATGATTTTGTTTTACCATCTCACTGATGCCGGGGTTCTTGTTCACAAAGCCGAAGAACGAGCTTCACAGTCAAGGTAGGAGAGCAAGTTACAGGCTTTTATTTAAGAGATTAAGTGAAACGAGGGGACAAGAGCCCATAGTGGTGTGTTATCTAGGGGGTTTTATAGGCAGCTGAGGATTTTTCGAGAACATGAAAAAAACTTGGGGGCGTGGACTTGTTAAGTGGTCCCTGAATATTTAGAATTAACTTAACACAAGCAACTTCCTCTGATGAGTTCTCTCTTGAGATACCAGCATCTTGGTCTGGGAGTATATGAAACAAGGCCACCTGCTCAGCCCCCAAGGTGGGCTGAGGTATTGTTTGCTAAAGAGTAAGTTAAGAATTTCTAACGTCTTAACTTCTTGGGTATTAAAATGCAATCTTATCTTTAAGGTGGAATCCTTCTTGCCTTTTACTGTGTTGTTTATGCCTGGGCTTACTTGCTAAATTAGTTGCCCAGTTTGCAAAATCACTTCATCAGATCTGAAGGAGAAAAGACAGCAAATAGGCCTGGGTCTTTTAGTATGCTAAAGTGAATCTTACACATGATTATAAATGATTAGCATAATAAAACATTGCTACTCTTCTTTATCTGGGGAACATTAACTGATCTCACTGAAGAATGATCCTAGAGCTTAATGTTTAACATAGAGTTTTAGTAGGGGGGTTTCCTTGCATGTAGTTACATTGCTCCGATTGCAAATATCCCGCCCTGCCCGCTCCGGAGGCCCTCACTCTACTCTGACTACATCCACAGTCCCTGTCTTATCACTTCCCTTGCCATGTCTTTCATCCTCCAGTCTTCTCCAGCAGTCCTACAAATAATTCAACAAGACTCAAGTTTCTAATTTTAAATCACTTTTCCCTAAAACCTTTCAGGGGTGCTTTCAATACAGTGTTTCCTCACGAAACAAAAAGTGCCAAAGAAGAGAGAAACACCTAATAAGGGTGTTTCTTTCCCTCTTTCACCTTATTGTTCTGTATTTAAATTTTTTCCAAAGCAAACCGTCTTACAAATTATCTTTTCAATGAAAATCTGACTTGGTGCAACAAGGACTGACCTGTTGGCAACAGGACGCAAGTCAGTGACCCCTGGAGACAGAGCTCAGTCTGGGGACTTCTCCCCCAAACCCTTCCTGGGGCTTAGGAACTTTGCCAGATCATAGCCTATGTTTTCATATCTATAAAACTGGCATAACGTTAACTGCTCAACCTACCTATGAGAGTCTTTGGGAGGATCAATGGAAAGAAAAATGTAGAACCAAAAAGCATATAAATTTGAAGCATTAAAATAATCTCACTCTCCCTCTTTGCCTACATGGTCATTCAGAAACTGCCAGTTTCCTTATCAATAAAATGGAGCTTCTCCCAAATTTTGGTTAAGGTTAAATAACATAGTAGATATAAAAATTATGTAAATTGTAAAGTACTTTACAAAGATTCATTGTACTTAGCATGGGACCTCATCTAGAGGTGTTTATGTGATGAGCCAGAAACCTTAAGAATGTGGAAGTGGAGATAATGAGCTACAGACCCTTCCTCCAAGTTCTTAGGCAGCAGGAGAGTACAAAATAGTCCAGGCTTATTTTAAACCCGTACCTTCAATGAAATACAAAAGGCACTGCAATAGGAAAACTCCGGAGAAACGGACATCCAGTTTCCAGTAACTGATCCTCTCATTAATTAAAACATACTTTGTACCCCATTACAGACCCTCTTGATAATTTAAGTACGTATGCCTCTGAATGAAAAGTCGGTATTCGTTAAATGCTGGAACCCTGCCACTTTTTTCTTTACTTTCCAGTTTCAGCTCCAACAAAGTGTAATAATAACTCGCAAAACACGGAAATCCAAGTGATCTGCCAAAGGGATCCCAGCAAAAAAGCCCACCTTGCGAAAAGGCCCCTAACGCCTTCTCTTTAGCCTCCAACCCTCCCCTGATCTGTTTTCTTCCTTCCTCTAGTCTTCAGGTCACTCTCCGTCCCCGTTTGACTCCGGCCCCTGTTCCTTCACATTTCTTAAATACTACAACAGAAGGATGGCTCATGCACCTGCCTGCAAAACTTCCCAAACCGGGCCTCTTCTGTACTCCCGGGCCTGCGCAACAACTCACCCCCCCTGAGGTAACTCCGGAATGAAAAGGTCCGCGGGCCAGAGCTCTAGGCCCTTAGAATCACCCCACCACCGCCCCTCAGCCTTCGGCCAATCAGATACCGTCTGAGAATGTTATGCAAATAAGCCTTCGTGCCCAGCCAGTCAGGAGCCACGGCCCCTTTCCCCCTCCAGCCCCCGCCAGCGTCCTCTTTCGCCCCAGAGCGCTGTACTGGCGGCAGCGTCCCTGGCAACCGGGCGCCGTCTATCCCGCCACACCGCCACCCCCAACACGCGGCTGAAAAAAAAATGGTTCCCTGAGGTCACTTGGGAGAGGATGCGGGCGGGCCCAGGACCGGGTCAGAGGTGGGCAGCCTCTCTGGTTGCCCCAGGCACTTTCCCAGTCGTGATCTGAAACTGGCTGGAGATGCTTAGTAACCTGCCCGGGCTTCATTTTGCCTGAGAACAAAGTCTTGCGTTAAGCAAACACCTTTTGAGTATTTGTTAGACTCAAGGCTAGGGGCTCCTGGTCTCTGCTTCTCTCCAATATGCTAAACTCTCAATGAAAGCCTTGTCTGAGGTCTAGCATCCACCCCTGTTCTTGGTCCACAGCTCCAACTCTGGAGTTAAATTCTGGTTCTTAATTCCCACTCTACCTTCTTGAGCAACCAGGAAATCATGCTTTCCTGGCTCATCTCCCAAAAAGTTTCCACCAGTTACCACTTCTGCTATGTCTTTTGGATAGTTTTGGAAAAGGTGGCATTTTAAATGACCAGAAATTCATAAACAAAGTGTAGAGCAAGAGTGAACTGGTCAAAGAAAGAAGATTGCAGAAATAAGAGGTTCTTACAACCTCTAAAGTAAGGTGATCTGCCAAAGGGATAATTGGCAGGCTAGAAACCAATCCAACCCAAGATAGCGGATTCTGGATTACTCTGAGGCAGAATTTAGAAGGAACCACTTCATGAAAAGTGTACTAGAAATATGACAATCAGACTGTCTTGTTAAAAGCCATGTGTCCAGTCATCCACTTGTACTGAAATCACTCACAACATCCCCACCAAGTGGTCACCCTGACCCACATTCTTGTAATTTGTATTAGTTCTCCCTCCTTGGAGTCCTCCAAAGGCCCTGCAACACACCATCAGATATTTGAAGGTAGGCAGGGTCTCCCTCAAATCCACTATTCTGGTTAACCCCAGTTCCTACAGCAGTTTATGTTCTCTTTTGAGATGCTTATCCATCCTGGTCACTGTCTTTGGAAGTACCTCCAGCTTTTTCTTAAGTGTGGCACCTGGAATCCATTTCAAGCACCACCACCTTTTCTAGGACAAAATAGAGTGGCATGACCACCCATTTTATTATAAATATAACTTTTCTAGGTCCTGTTTATTGCACACAAGTGCTTGGAACTTAGACATGTTAACTCACTTTTAACTTCACAACAACCCTGAGAAGAAAGTAAGGATCAGAGAGTTTAAGTGGCTTAAATAGCAAAATTAGGAATTGACCAAGTTTTCTGATGCCAGAACCAATGTTCCTTCTACTGACCAACAAATATCTACTTGTTTCAATGCTAACATTTAATGGACTTCTTTTAACAGCTACATCTATATTCTGCTAGGTAACAAAAATTTGTGTGTCCCATTCTTGAACAGGGCAGATTTTTCGGACCAAAGTATGGATATTTATATTTATCTTACTTAAACTTTATTTCATTAGATTTGGCCCATTACTCCAGCCTCTTTCAATATTTTAGTTCCTAATTCTGTGCTCTAATGTATTTGAATCTTACCCATACATCTGATAACTATTCTATATATTCAAGTTACTGATAATAGGTAAAAGGCAACACTGGGCAAAGGGCAGATGCTGTACAACATTTGGAGAGCTCGTTCAGCTTGATA